GAATTCTAATGATGTTTGGTTGGAGGATTCAAACTATGATTTGAATCATGGTTCATAGTTTGCTACAATGTTGTCTCTCACAAAAAATTCAAGTAAATCGAAAATAATTTTAATCACATGATTCTAATTTATGAACCAAACATCTCCTAATCTCGATCTCACTTTAAATTAAGTGGATATAGAAGTGAGTATGATAAACAAAACAGAAATAGAATGAGAGTGGGAGAAGCATGCCCGTCACACCCCGCTCTATTGCCATCCTCCACCTAAACAAGCGGATTATTGGATTTACATTAACGATTGTTCTTATGATTACTATCCTAACTTCCTTATCACCGAAGTCTACTCGAGTTTGAAAGGTTTTACAGGATAAGACAGTGATTATGTTCCAAATCTAGTACTTTGTTTTTGTTTGTTTTTTTGTTTTTGTCCCTTTGTGTATATATTTTTTTTCACATTTGAGAAGTGAGAATACAACTCCTTACCTACCTGTCTTTCAAAATATAAAAGCCCAATCCAGCTTAAATAGGCCTGAAGCGAAATAGTGGAAAATAGTTGCACATATGAGGTTTGAATTTGGGGACTCAACTGCTAATTTTAAGATTAAAACTGTCACATTAAATGGGGCTGAAAAGTATACAGCTTGTTTTTTTAGAGTTTAACTTGAGTATAATTCTCGAGTTAAATTTGAGTTATAACTTGAGTTTAACTTGTAACTTGAGTTTGTGTTTGGTTGTATACATTTGAGTTATGATTTGAGATAAGAATCTTTTTGAGTTTGTGTTTGAGTGAGTTAAAACTTGAATTTGTATTTAGATAATATTGTAATAAAAACTCAATGCTGATGAAAAATTTTAATAGGGTATATGAGTCGGGTTTTATTCGTCTTTTCGTTGTCAACGCATAGAAAAAAAAATCATCTCAATCATAATTAAAACGAAAAAGTTATAGCATTTTTAAGAATAGAAAAAATAATGTTCATTAATTTGAGTTCGAGTTTCTGAACTCGAGTTAAAGGGGAAACTTGAACTCGAGTTTTAGTCCTAAACTCGAGTTTGAACTCGAGTTCAAACTCGAGTTTAAACTTAAAAGAACATGAACTCAAATAAAATTGTAACTCAAGTTACTTTTTTTTTTAGTTTTTCACTCAAAAGAACAAGTCCATAATTTCTTGTAATATCTAGAGCTCGCTCCATATATACACACACATATATATATATCGATTATTAATCTCTAAGGACATCCACCATAATTATGATGTAACTTCAGGAAATCATTCCTACATTTACTAATAACTAAAACAAGTCAATAAGCCTAATTTACTCCTATTTTATGCGTTTCGTTGCACTTGTATTTGGAGTAATCACGATTTATGCATGGACTTTTTAATTATCTTTACGCTTACCATAGTTATAGCGATGAGAAAAGTGACAATATTATTAAATTATGTGACCATTATCAGTACTTAGTCACTCTTTGTTCGACATTCAATGAACAGAAAAGTTGGGGGCTCTATTAGCTCAGTATCACAAAAAACAATAAGTGGGCCGTGATATATTGGGCTCACGGAGCCCACATTCTTCTCGGACTAAGGTCAAATCTGATGGAATCATTCTTGGATGAGTGGTCTTAATTGGATTGATGTCTTTGTTCGATCAATTGAGCTAGATGACTAGTACTAATAGTCTTTAAGAAGTGAGTGTACCTTAAACCAAATAATGGTAATGTGACTAATTCAATGAGGGACTATAAAAGCCCCGTTTATTTCAGCGATTCGAGTTTTGTTACAGTAAAAAATTCTCAGAAATAGTCACATCTAATTTTTTTACTACAGTAAAAAGTTCTCACATAAAATCACATCTCAACTCGAATTAAAAACTCGAATCAGCGAACTAAACGGACTCAAACTCTAAACATTGGTGATGTAAACGTCGATGTCATGGTGACAAGTCGAACTCATGGCGGCGCAAATGCTAACGACATAGTTACGTGTTAGCCCCGCCGAGCACGAGGGAGGTTTCTTACTTCACCGGAGGTCACACACGCCTAGAAGATATTGAGGCAAGAGGTTGCTTCGTTGTAGGTTGAATGAAGCTTTGGTGGAGAAGAAAGAGAGCGTTAACTGAAGATTGTGTGTGCTGGACATCTCGCAATAGGCTTTGAACGTCAAAAATAATTTGGTAGATTATTTATGATAATCTATCAGATTATTTGTTGCTTGCAATACAGATGGCCTAACAATTTTAGCTTCAGTTACTAAAAGGTACTCTGGTAGGTTAGCAACAATAACCTACCTAATTGATTTGTTTTTTTATTCAACAAATATTAGTGGATAATAAAACTTACTATGCAAAAATAAACCGGATATTACAAATCGAAATGCAATACAAAGGTTAAGCAACGATTACCAACTCAGAGAAACTTATATCTCGAAAAGTTAGGACATGTTTACTTATCCGTAATCAGAGTGGACATGATTTGAAATGGGTAGTAATCAGAGTTAAAAATCAGAGTCAAAATAAGTTGTTTACTTAGATTCCAGGAATCGAAATCGGAATCAATCCCAATCCTATTCATGCGTTTACTTACACTCAGAATCGGAATAAATTGTTATAAATTTACTTACCTGCCCTTTTAGTAGATTTTTGTGTGTTGAACTTTAAAAAAAATTGTATATTATGCTAACTATCTTAATATTAGAATAACTAACTAGTAATTAGATTTTTTTTAATCACACATAATTAATCATCTAAGTTATTTTTCTCAATAAATTTTAACTCAATTTCAAGAAAAGAATATGATGATGAAATAAAATAAGAACAAAATAACTAAGTTTTAAGTCATAAACTTTCAAAAAGAAGTTCCAAGTCATAAATTGAAAAATATATCCTAAGCATAATTCAAAGTACCAACATAATTTAAGTAAACTAATAATTGGCTAATCTAACACTTAAACCCCACGACTAAGAATTTTGAGGATGTATCCCTTCTTGAGTTGATCCGGAATGTTGTAGAATACACGTAGCAAATCATGCTTTGTTGCTAAACTATTGGTGGCATCATGAACTTGATCATCATCTAAGCCATCAATTTTCAGCATTTCTTGATACAAGTTGGCTTGTAATCCAGCTAAATCCTTGTCAACAGTGGATGTGCAAAAACATTGCAAGCATCTCCTCAACAGATACATTTTTTGTGCTTGTCAAACCTCCTTTCTCACATAGAAGCTTGCATAATCTTCTAAACGTTTCTCTATCCATTCTTAATTATGCCACACACTTGATATCACTCTCGTAAACCAAATCATACAAGTGACATAATTGTTGATATACACATAGCAGCACACACAACCATAATCATTTGTAACATCATAACTATCTCTTTTATCACTACAACCACTCTCTTCTTTCGTACTAAAAGTCTAGACATGATTACTCTACATTATCAACATATAAAATTAGATTTAGTATCATATTGTATATTATAAAAATGAACAACAATAGGCATAACACAAGAATCAAATTATAAGAAAAAAAGAAAAAAAAAAACTAGAGTACTAGAATCATGAGAAATAAAGAGAGATAAAAATTATTGATAGTTTCAGTTTTCTAATCTTATAGTAGAAATTCTTAAAATAAAACAAATATAAGAGTTTAAAGAAATAAAGAGGGATAAAAAGTAAATTAAAATAAGGGAAAAAAACTGAAAAGCTAGAAGCATTATCAACGTGGAAAGGAACAGCAAAACTAGCTAAACTAAAGCATTATCAACGTGTTCCAACACAAAAAAAAAATTTCAAAACAAAAACAAAAATAGAGTATGATTTATGGCTTACCTGCAAATTGAAGAACCACGACAGAAGAGGGGATGGTAAATGGCTGAGAGAGAAAGGGGGAAATAAACCCTAGAGAGTTAAATAAAGGAGAAAAATTAAGGGTAAATTCGTAATTTTGCATTTAATATCAGGCTTAGGAGTGACAATCCAATGGGAGATGGGGGGAGTGCTAATCTCATTTCTCAATCCCAAATTGGTGTGAGGCCCACACATTCTCACTCCCATTACAGGATATAAATGGGTAAGTAAACATAGAGTTGATTCTGAATCCCAATTCTCATTCCATACTCCTGATAAGTAAACATACCCTTAATGTAATACATATTAGGATTGAGAAACATAATTACAATAACCTAATATACCTAGAGAGATGCACTGCATAAGTATAATGACGTGATACACTAACTTCTATTATTGAATAATTTTTCATGAGAGACATCGACAGATATTGATCAGATTGTGCATGCTTTAGTGCAAGGCTATTATTTATTATTATTATTTTTGTTGAAATATTGCATGGCTTTTATCTTGCCGTAGCAACAAATTAATATACGTACAGTAAGAGATCAAGGGACAGACGACAATATAATCGTCATCTTCTTCTTTTATCTTTATCGGAGTGTGACCATATTGGTTGCACCACTCAAACAAAGATGTTAAGATTAGTTTTTCAACGGTCTAATTTATGAGTAAAAGTAATTTTGTGTCGTGAACTGTAAATTTTTAATGTTGACACTCATAAATTGGACAATTAAAAAACTAATTTGACAGTTAAAATGAGAATTTCTACCGGTAAGGTAAAATTTTTAATGTTGACACTCACAAATCGGACAATTGAAAAACTAATATGACAGTTAAAATGACAATTTCTACCGGTAAGGTAAAATAATAATTTCTACAGTAAGATTTTTTTTTTCAGGAATCTACAGTAAGAGGTCCTTGTGATAAATCGATAATTATTTAAAAAGAACTTTACAAAGATTTAATCACCAATAGAATGTAAAACATATACAAACCAGACATTACATAAATACATATCTACATAATTTTCTCAATTTGGCCATTTATGTAAATACCCCAAATGCATGCCATTGAGAAAGGCCTAGTTAGGTAGTCCTACGGCAAGCCTGTCTCTCAAGTCTTTCCTCAAGATTTTGCCTGAAGGGGACTTTGCGATTTTCCCTGTGAAGAAAACCCGATTTATTCTTTTGTAAAACACAACCTGAAGAAAACAAGCAACATTAGTTAATATGTATATATATATATATATATATATATTATAATCAGAAATCTATTTACGCACTATTGCTTATGAGGTAAAAATTTTCCTCTCATGCTGTAAGAAGTAAATTATAAAGTTTTTCTATAGTAAGACCTCGTATAGGCAGCATATATATTTTTAATCGTTTAATTTAATCAAAATTATATTAAAACAAAAAAGTATGTAAAACATACTATTTTTAATAAATTTCGACCGGATGGAAAAAAAAAAAAGATTTACAGATAGTTTATATTTTCAAATCCACCGTAAAAATCTCATAAAAAAATATTCAAAATGTATCTAAAAGCTTTACCTGTTTTGAGATATATTGCTTGATGTCCTCTTCGTTAATATCTGAAGCACCTGATTTCACTACAAACGCAACAGGAACCTCTCCTGCAGCTTCATTCTTCATACTGGGAAAGATATACCGAAATTCTTAGATTCTTTTTATTTTATTTTAAATTGAGACTTTATAATTGAACTAGAAAAAGAGGCATAATTATGTTTTCCGAAACTCTAAGTGAACTAATGTTTTAATTAAGGGTTTCTAATTTCATTGGCATATTAACAAGAGTAAAAAGCTTTTTCTTTTTTTTTTTTAAAGGAGAAATTGCATTCTAAATCAGAAAGATACAAACACGAAATCAGACGTGAAAGACCTCAATGCAAATAGCGACTCAACTCCAATCATAGATTGAAACCACTGGTAGATTCGATTGAAACGCTTAAGAGGATAAAACGTGTACTAAATTTCAATAAGTGGAAACTTACGAGGCGCATAACTAATCGAGTAAATAAATAGTAAAAAACATTTTGACTTTTAGTAACTTTGCCCCACAAGACTTTTTAAAATATTAATACAATGTACCCTATTTTGTTAACTTCCCAATAAATTGAGGGTCTAAATTTGGAAGCTTTACATAAGGGCTTTTGCCGGACATGAGATTTTCCACCCTAACATGAGGCGCGGCTTAAGTGGACTTTTCGCCACTAATTAAACAGAAAGTTAAGTAAAATAGGACACATCAGAACAATACAAAAGTTCAGAAGATAAATTATTAAATTAGAAATTTAGTAACAAGTTGTCAAAAACCGAAAAGTTTTGAGGGAATAAATTATTGAGGCAAAAT